GAGCATTCCCAGGGTGTGTTCCGTTGTGGGCACATGTCACGTCTACAATTGCGGGTGACAGTAATTGAGCAGACAACCCAAAGATGCGAGAGCTCAGCCATCGTTAGCCTGGAATCACCAAGGGGAAGATGCGAAGCATCACAGTTCAGAAATGTTTTCCAGCAGCATCGGTGAAAACAAGAGTTGGAACGCCTAAGTAATTAAAATAACCCAGACACCTCACAGTCCCAAGAAATCCAATTATCTGCAATTTAACTGTGATCTGGATGCCTGCCTCTGCTTTTTAATTAGCTTGAGGACAGAACAAGGCAATGTGAAAGCTGATTTTGTTGAAGAAACTAGATTTTTAAAAATTAAAAATGCAAACCAGTGGAATAAATGCAAAGCTAACGTTCAGTAATAAAAATGTATCTTTTAACAATTTTGAAATACCAGGAAGGGCTAGGTGTTGGAGTTCGATAAAACCTAAAAGAGAAAGTCCTGAAATCTCTAAAATGAGCTTTCTGCTTCATTTTCCCAATCCACGCCCTCCCCTGGTCACTCAGTTCCATTTTCTCTGGGTTTTCAGGCGACGTGTGTGGTCTCCTTCCCCCCTCCCCCAGGCCGAGGAGCAAAACAAACGCGGCCTCTCTTCTCTTCTCTTGTTCTCCTGACGATGGGGAAAGAAGGATGAAGCGCACCTTAGACCAGCTAGCACTGCAACCTCACCACCTGGTGGGGCCGGCTGGGCTGAGCCAGGACGGCGGTCACCGGCGAGCAGTGCCGGGAAGGCGAGGGGCAGCCAGCCTGCAGCGGGCCCCGGGGCCACAGCCGAGGGCCTACACAGCGGCTGGTGTGGGGCCGTCCGCCTAGCAAATGGTGGTTGTTACGCCTGTTCTAAGACACCCTCACACCTCCTCGTTTCAATAATGGGAAAATGTGTAGGAAGTTTTATGTCTTCTGAAAATTCAGAGCCTTAGGGCATCACTGAAATCAGTTCCCAAGCAGACGTGGGCTAAGACTCAGGACCTCTGTCCATTGCCTGTCTCACCCAGTCCTCCAGTGACTGGGGCTGCCTCCACCCCACACAGACCCTGGAGAAGAAGGCTGCATCTAACAGAGTGAGGCTGGCAGAACTAATAGTAATGGGGAGAAAGAGGAGGAAGAGAGGTGTGACTGGGGGCAGCTGTCAGCTGCTTCTCCCCGGCGAGACCTCCGTAATTTGCCATCAGTGCATAAGACGCCAACCTCGTGGCAGGGGCACAAGAGATGTGGAACAGGTGGGGTCCTCGGGGCATCTGCTGGAGCCTGTCCTAGGACATGGGGAAAGGCGTGACTCCCACTTGTCCTCAGGAGCTGGTCTGTTCCACTGCTTCAATATGGTAACCACCTGCCCCTGCTCAGAGTGGCATATGCCCCCAAAACATTAGGAAGGGGGTTAACTTTCATTCATTCAACAGGTATTTGTTAAGTGCCTGTTTTGTGCCAAGCACTCTTGGTACTCAGGATCTGAGGGTGAGCAAACCACGCATGCCTGCATGGATGGGGGCTAGAAAGACATTAGACAATCACAGAAATTATGAGATAACGATACTGGTGATAATATGAGCTCTAAAGGGGAAGGTCCCTGAAGAGGCGATGCTTAGGTCAAGACCTGAAGGAGAAACAGACGTTAACCAGAGTCAGAATCAGGGAAGGAAGGATATTGCATGAAGTGGGATGGGGCCCGTCTTGGGGGAAGGAACGTTCCAGCAGAGAAAGGGCCACCATGGTGTCACCTGTTTCCAGGGCAAACCCAGCCCAAAGGGAACATGGCATAGAAAACTTGGCTGCTTTTTAACCAGTAAGTAAATATTAAGAATTAAATGAATTGAGAGATGGAAATTTGCAGATATTGCTATACATAAATAGACAAATAACAAGTTTGTACTGTATAGCACAGAGAAGGAACTATATTCAGTATCTTACAGTAACCTATAATGAAAACAAATATGAAAGGGAATCAATGTATGTGTATGTTTGACTGAACTCTTGTGCTTACACTGACTATGCTTCAATAAAAAATATATACATAAAAGGTAAATTTCAGATGAGTTCATCCCATAATACCTCTCTTTCATTTATTCCATAATACACAAATTCAGAATAATAGCAGATTCAGAATCACTACATTCACACTATCACCAATAATGTAATTACTGAAAACAGTTAAAGTTTTTTTTTTTTTTGCAATTTTTGTGAACATAGGCATATACTATTAGGGAGGAAAAATAAAATTACTGTTTTAAAGTCACTCAGAATAGGTCTTCTCTGTGTGTTTATGTTGCCAACAGGCCATGCAATTACTTTTATTTGTTTAATCGTACTTTTGATTTTTAGATATCATCTTTTAAAATTCAATGCTAATTTATCATTGTGTGAAATATTTATGTAATTTCAAAGTCAAATCTACAAAACAAGGTGTATTCAAAGTCTAGCTTCTGCCCCGACTCCCTCCATGCTGTTCCTTCTTTTCCCTTAAAGATACTAATTTTTTTCAATTTCAGAGTTTATTCTTCTATTGCTTTTTCTTAATATAAGCAAATATATATTTAATTATACATACGATGTCCCTGTTGTTTAGATAAAAGGTTAGCTTCCTCTACACACTTTTCTCCATCTTGCTTTTATCACTCAATGATAGATCCCAAAAATCATCGTCCATAGAGAGCTTTCCCCGTTCATTTAACAGCTGTGTAGTCCTGTATCCTGGGGATGTATCGCCATCCATTTAGCTAGTCCCCTATGAATGGACTGCTGAGCTGTTTTCAGTTTTTAGTCATTTCAAACAGTGCTGCAGTGAATCATTCTGAGCATTCTGTTTTGCCAGTCTACCTTTGGGAAAGATTTCTGGAGGTGGGGCTGCTAGGTCAAAGGAAAAATGCATATGTGATTTTGTTAATAGATATTGCCAATTCTCTTCCAAAGGAGTTGTCCTATTTTATATTCCCACCAGAATATGTATGAGAATGCCCCTCTCCCTGCAACTTCACAAACGTTTTCAAACGTCTGGATTTTTGCCTAATAGGTAAGAGAACGTAGTCCATTGTAGTTTTACTTTATGTTTTTCTTGTTATGAGTGACACTGACTGGCTTTTCATATGGCTGAGACCTCTCAGCATTTCTTTTCCTAAGAACCATCTGTTGAAATCCTAGCCCATCGTTTTGTAACAGCGGTTCACAAAGTGTGACGCCTGGACTAGAAGCAGCAGCATCGCCTGGGAATCTGCTAGAAATGCAAACTCTCAGGCCCGGCCCCAGACCTGCTGAATGAGATGCTCTGGGATGTGGCCCAGTAATCTGTTTTAACAAGAAGCCTTCTGGGCGACTCGATGCGCTAACATTTGATCAGTACTGATCCACAGGATCGATTCACCAGCTGTATCTGAACTGTACTATAGGCCCGCCTAATTATTTTCTATTTAAACCAAGGCCAAACTGTTAATAAACTGGAACGGAAAGAGTCAAATGCCTGGGACGTTCAGTCATTGATTCGTGGATTCATCCAACCAGGAACAAACAGATGTTAAGTAGCCACTGTGAGTCAGCCACTGGGGACCCTGGGGTGGGCAGCGGGGATACTGTGCTGAGTAAAACAGACAAGGCCACTGACCTCAGGAGCTTTCCTTCCACTGCGGAAGAACAACACTAAACCAGTCCATTTACGTCTTACCAAAGGGGATTACAAGGTGCTACTCCACTGAAGGGCAAGGGGCTCCAGCGAGCGGAGTGGTCAGGGAAATGCAAGTTAAAGTCATGTTGCGATGGTATTTCACTCCCATCAAATGGACAAAATTTTGAAAAGGGAAAGATCTATTCCTAGCAGGCATACGGGTGGAAGTGTGCAGCACTGTGTCCTCTTTGGAAAGGAATCTACTTAACATCTATCAAGGCATCAGACACAGCGATCCCACTGGTGGGGGCCATTCCTGTAGAAAGAATGCCATCCTTCCGAGGACATCACTGCAGCACTGTTTACAGTGGCAGACACTGGTTACAAAGCGCATGCCCCGCAGCGGGGGAATGGTTGACTCAGTCATGGTACAGCCGCCTCAGGCGGCCTCTGGGAGACGGAGGCCTATGCTGACTTGCAGGCAGTTTAGCGACGCACTCTGAGTAAGGGAAACAACACCGTGGGAAGATGGGCACGACGCAGCCTTGCCTTCAGAAACCCACACAAGCCCGTCTGTGTGTCCACTGGGATCTGATTACATGAGCACAGAAGGAAGATATGGGGGGATAAATACCCCTACAGGTGAGCCATCTTCAGTCAGTGGCTTTGGGCTCACCATCCAGTCTCCCTTCCTCTTAGGGTGTCTTCCTATGGTGTAGAAGATGGAATGCTAAGCTACACGCTGCGTGCTTGGACATCCCACAGGCAAACACGCACACGTGTGAGACACCACGGGAGGAATCGGGTCAGGGGCCACACTGGGCTGCTTCGGCTGCTCACAAGCACCTTCATTTGTCACACCTCTGTGTCCACGGAGTTCCCCAAGTCTGTCACTAGTTTCCTGTGGTGGATGGGGGAGGCTCGGGCATCCCCTTTGCTGACCTGGGTAGAGTAGGGAGTCAGCCTTTCTGCAGCAGCTGCTGATCCCTGGATCCTGCGTGGGTGGTGGGAGCCTGGAACCAGCCGGGGAGACAGAGCCCCTGAATCCCTGCAGAGGTAGCAGCCCTCCCCCCCCCCCGCCTAAAGCAGCCCCATCTTTTTGTTTTGTTTTGTTTTTCCTGACAATGGAAACTGTGTGATAAAATGGGTTACCCAGTTGGGGGAAGAGAGAGAGGGAGTTGTGAGAATTTAAACATAGGAATATATGAAAGTGCCTTGAAAATCATGCTATTATTATTAATTTAAAATGCCAGCTGAAACTCATCAGTCATCTCATCTAAATAACCGAAGTACCTGAGGACTTTCAAAAGGCTTTTTAATGCAGAAAGGGCACTCCACCGCGGAGCTTCTCCACAGCAGGAAGTCTTACCAGCAGGTGTGGACGTGGATTTTGGCGCCGGAAGCAAACTCCTGCGGGGTGTTGCCACACTGGAAGAGGCTGGAGGGGCCGCCCGACCGGCCCCCTTGGGTGTGTCTTTGGAAGGCAGAGCCACCTTCAGAGCTGGCTGGTCTTCGGTCCCAAAGGTTGAACCTGTGGGAGGCAGACAGCGTGTTAATTTCAACTTCATGAAAAATGCAAGGACTCCTCGCCATGTGCAATTGCCTGCCTACCCTAATGCCGCCGCCTGCTTTTGAACTTGACCTGACTCCTAGTGAGTGGCCTTGAAGAGCATTTCTCTGTGACCAGATGGGGGAAAGAGCTCCCTTTCATCACTGCATGTAAGTCTGTCCTTCAAAGCCCCACGCCAGGGGCTCCACAAAAGCCAAGAGCAGCCTCGCCCCTCTGAAGATTTCACACATGTGCGTGCACACACACGGTTTACTTACGTGGATGTGTAGCTGCCTGTGCATATGATAAGCATTTATTTGATAACTCATGGAAGATGAGCAATCATTTTCTGAAAAACAGTGTGAGTGACCCAGGGGAGGTGAGAGAAAGAACACAGGTAGGCACGTTAGTCAAGGAAGTGTGTCTGGGGCTCCCTGGAACCCAGCTGAGTTTACCTTTGGAATAAGAGGCTTGGGGTGAAGGCAGAGGGGCGAGGTGCATGGAGACAGAGAATCTCTTTGAAACTCACAAAGCTTTTTGTCTGGAAAGCTGAGACTTCATCCAAATAAGAGGACCCTGCATTAGTGACCCCAGTTCACTGCAAAGGCAGATGTTTGTTGATGACTTCAGTTTACTCTACAACACAGAAACAGACGCTCTGTCTATAGGACATGCTTGTTGATGACAGACTGCTCTGAAGACAGGGCATCCTGGGATTTGTGTCAGACGTAAATGCACGGGATGGCTGTGGCCTGAATTTTTTCTCTAGCTCTTTCCAAAGCTACCGTGGTTTACACGTCTGTAATCTCTTAAAGGCAATGACACCCCCACCTCTTCCTGTTAACGGATAAATCTTCTAAATACACCTCTATGTGCAGCCAAGAGACCTCATCTCCTTCATTAAATAGAGAGCCTGGGCGTCCTGAGATGACCGCTTGTCAGGGATAAAACTGCCCAGCGAGGAACGTGCCCATCTGCCACGGAAAACAGGCAATGGCAGCTAGAAGCGTAGCCTTCCACGGAAAGATTAAATTTTTTGTTTTCATCATTTTAAAAGGATAGTCACAACATTCTATGCAGATAGGGCCTGCATAAAAATGATAACATTGTTAAAATGGCTTTAGCGTTCAGACATCCAGGGGGTTTATTCAACCACTTCGAGTAAGAGCTGGCTGCTTTCCTCCCTCTGGAGATCTGACAGTCTGTTCAAAATTGACGAGATTTGTTTTGTTTCTAAAGCAAAGTGTATTTAGGAAGGAAAAATAAAGAATGTGCTGTTTCATAACACAGAACTTATGACCTACAGTTCTTTTAAGGGCCTGTGCAAGGTTTTAAATGGTTCTAAGCAGGGTTAGGAGAATGCATTTGAACCATGAAAGCAGAACAAAAGCATTAAAACTCCACTGAGACAACGTGCACTGTATCCTCAATTTCAGATTAAAAAGTAAACACAGGGCAGCAGTGCGCAGAAAAGAAAAGAAAAAACTACAGCACTATCTCACACCTTCCACAAAAATTAACTCAAAATGGTTTAAAGACTTGAACGTAAGACCTGAAACCATAAAACTTCTAGAAGAAAACACAAGCAGTGTTCTCTTTGACATTGGTCTTGGCAGTATCTTTCTAGACAAGTCTCTTCAGGCAGAGGAAATAAACGCAAAAATAAACAAATGGGACTACATCAAACTAAAAAGCTTCTGCACAGGAAAGGAAACCACCCATAAAACAAAAAGACGACCTACCAAGTGGGAGAAGAGATTCCAAATGGTACGTCCAACAAGGCGTTAATATCCGAAATGTGTCAGGAACTCACACAACCCAACAATGAAAACAAATCTATCAAAAATGGGCAGAGGCACTGAATAGACATTTTCCCAAAGAAGACATACAGATGGCCAACAGACACATGAAAAGATGTTCGTCACTAAATTATTAGGGAAATGCAAGTCAAAAACCATGAGCTATCACCTCACAACTGTGAGAATGGCTATTCTCAATGAGACAAGAAGTAAGTGTTGGCGAGGATGTGGAGAAAAGGGAGTCCTCATACACTGTTGGTGGGAACGTAAATTGATGCAGCCACCATGGAAGGTGGTATGAAGAGTCCCCCCAAAATTGATAATACAACTACCATATGATCCAGCAACTCCACTTCTGCTTATTTGTCCAAAAAAGGCAAAAACCCTAATCCGAAAAGATACCTGCACGCCCATGTTCACCTCAACGTTATTCACAGTAGCCAAGATTTGAAAATAACCTAAGTACCCATCAGTGGATGAATGGATAAAGACGTGATACATACACAAATGGAATTCTACTCAGCCACAGAAAAGGTAAAATCTGGCCATTTGAGGCAACATGGATGTACCTCAAGGGGATGATGCTAAATGAAATCAGTCAGACAGAGAAAGACAAACACTGTATGATTTCACTCACATGTGGAATATAAAAAAAACCAAAAACCCTCAAAACCAAAAAAACAAAACAAAACCAAGCCAAACAAAAACAAACATGTAGATACAGAGAATAGAGCAGTGGTTCCCAGAGGGGAAGGGGCTCAGGGTGGGGGAGGGTGAAAAGGATAAAGGGGGTCAGCTGCATGGTACAGATGAAAAATAAACTTGGGGTGGTGAGCATGCCGTAGGGTAAACAGATGAGGAAATACAATCCAGTACACACGAACGTTACAATGTTATAGATCAATGTTACCGCAATAAAAACATCAAGTCAGCACACGTTTGAGCAAAACCTCATCAGGGACACCAGGCACCTGCAGGACAGTGAGTCTTCGCTTCTGAACATAGAGCAGGTTCACCGTCCCATCCCGGGACTCAAGAGACTCTCTGGAGGTTGTAGAACATTTCAGATGGGGGGTGGGGGGGAGGCTAGATCACCAGCGACATTTCACGTGGAATTATCTATCGTCCAGCCGACTGCCGACAGACTGCCTGCAAAATCTATTCACTGACACGTGTAGTGTGGAAGCTGAAATGAACATCAACTCTTTCACACAGAGACTTTCACTGAACAAGTTATTAAAGATCCTGAGGAAGGGGAATATTTTGTATCATTTGTAGAGTTCAAATGCCTTGTTATCGAATCCTCTTGTACCTGGCATTATTCTCTTACACGAAATTTATACTTCAGTGAACACGTCCATTTAGAGATGTGGCTGCTTTCCAGGCTGGGGAGTAATTCATCTGTTTGAAGTATGAAGTGTCAAGGAAGCTATGTACTCCCTGCTGAAGGAAGTCTTGAACGACTAAAAAAAACCAAAATAAAGTAAAATGAAATAAAACAAAATGATAAAACAAAATTAAATGCTATTCTTATCCATTCTTGTGGGAGACAGCTGGCAGTAAACAGGACCCCTCTTTGAAAACCATCATATGTTGGCCGGGACTTAAAAGACACATTATTCAGTGAAGGAGAAGTACTCTGAACTTGGAAATGGCTGTGGAGTTCTGTAACTGCTCTGGTACATTACAACAATGCCTACAACATCAAAGCATTGCATGATGAGAAGAGAAAACAACTGGAAATAAACCACGAGCCAGAAAAATGTTCTGGAGGATCCAGCCAGTGGGAGTGGTCCACGCATCTAATTCAGTCGTCTCATTCCCAACCAACCAGCAGCTACTGTGGCCCTTACGATGCAGGTGATAAACGGTGCAGACTCGGGGGCAAGATGACCAGGGTGTGGATACCCCCTCCTCCACCTGCCACCTCTCTGCACTTCGGTTTCTTCATTTATAAGTGGGGATGATGCTAACTGAATCCACCGAGGTGCTGTGAGAATTAAAAGAGCTAATACAAGTGAATGTTTAAAAGGGCAATGCAAGTTCACTTAGAGTGGTGCCCGCTGTGTGGTAGGCTCTCACGTGTTACGTTACCAACAGTTACAGGTTAGTTTTAAGCCCAGCAGCTGCTCAATACAGCAAACCAGCTTTCCACAGGGACTTGGAAAGTATTCACAGATTAATAGCAGAAAAGGACCAGAGTAAACCTGGTGGTACCTGCAGGATAAAAGGCTAAAATGAAGAGTGACAGTATGATGGTCTTTCACGAAAATGATGCACTACTTCAGACAAAGGAAAAGTGAGAATAATAACAAACAACCAAGCTTAAGAAACGTGAAACACTACGACTTCCGATACGTTCCTCAAAGTGTTAAGCGCAGAGTTATCATAGGACCCAGCAGCTCTACTGTTACATATATGCCCGGGACCTGAAAACATACGCCCCCACAAAAACCTGTACGCAAATGTCCCTAGTAGCATTATGCATAATAGTCAAAGAAGTGGGAACAACCCAAATGTCCACCAACTGACAAATGGTACATAAAATGTGGCTTACCCAGACAGCAGAATATTGTTCAGCCATAGAAGGAGTGAATTATTGATAGAAGCTACCCTATACATGAATCGTGAAAACATTATGCTCAGTGAAAGAAGGCAGGTACAAAAGACCAGACACTGTATGATTCCATTTATATGAACTGTGCAAAATGGACAAAGCCATTGAGGCAACAGTAGATTAGAGGCCATCAGAGGCTGGAGGAGGGAGAGGGAGAGTGAGTGCTAATCGAGGAGGGGCTCCTTTCTTGGGTAAAGAAAATGCTCTGAAATTAGACAGGAGTGATGGCGCATAACCTTGTGACTACACTAACAACTACCTGACTGTATACAAGGGTGAGTTTTATGGTATTTGAATTATATACAAAATCAATCAATAAAAACACCTCACACGTAAGTTTTCCTTCCTGGCTCCTCTGGTTGGAACAAGTTCCTCTTGTGATTCGGCTCTCCCCTCTCCCCTGTTACCATTCCTACTCCCCGTCCCAGGAGCCTGCGTGGTGGCTAAAGCAGGTCCCAACCCGTCTGTCCCAAGGTGGTTCTGTCTCCTGACGGCAGACTCTTGCATAATACAAAAAAGAACACTCCTCAGACCCACTCCTGCATCCCATTCACGGCTGCAGAACGACCGAGCTCCCACGTGAGGAGGATGACACTCAAGGCACGGCTACCCCCCTCCCCGTCTCATGGAGGCCCACCAAGTGCGGTGTGGTCTCAGCGGCTCCGGTCCTACACCACAGAGGAGGACATGTGCCAACACAGGCCAGAAAAGGCTGCACCAAAGGAATGAAAGTCCCTCAGGGGGATTTCAGGCACTGGGAGGAGGAAGTGTAGATTTATAGGATTTCTGATCCCCTCTTCCAAAGGAGTGAGTGGTGTCTACCCAGCCTGCTCAGAAGGATAATTCTGACCATGACAGTGGCAAAGAGGGACGAACACAAACCAGACCAGAACGAGTTTTTTCAGGGGAAGACTGCATAAGAAAAGCAAAACAGTTATTAACATTATGAGGGCATCATGGCCAAAGTCAAAGAAACGTGTTTTACTGATTCTGATAATTTATCTATATTATAATGATTAAACTATTCTCCTCACTGATTTTTTTAACAGTCCCAGGCAATCAAGTTGTGTCATATTTTGGCTGCATGATTGCCTAATTGATGCATATTTCATTGATTTAGCAGCATTTATCACTTGGCAGCAAAATCTAGTTTAATTATTAAAGTACCAACTGAATATTCCATTTCCCACCTTCTGCATATTTTAACCCAGGTATGTGCTTTCTTTCCCACTGAAGAGCTAAAGTAAAAACCTGCTATCTTACTACTATGGGCAAAGTTATTTCTTTGTCAAAATGAAGTAGAGCAGGCTCTGCCCTGGGCAGGAGGCGCACGACAGAAAGGGTCCTCTCTTTGTACCACTTACATCTCAGTGTGGGGGACACACAGACCACAGATACAGACAAATAAAATCATCACAAGCTGCTATCAGTTATGAAAGAAACACAGGGTTGGAACTAAAGGAAAAACTCGGGGGTGAAGGAGGATCCCCCGCTTTAAGTGGAGTGCCTAGGGAAGAGGTAATGTTGAAAGTAAACATTTGTAGTAACCTATAATGAAAAAGAGTATGAAAACGAATATATGTAAGTGTATGTATGACTGAACCATTATGCTGTACACCAGAAACTGACACATTGTAACAGACTACACTTCAACTGAAAAAGAAAAAGTAAACACTTCTCTCAGCTGCACACTGCCCGACTCCACCTCCTTTATTCTTGATTATTAATGACCATGATTGTTCTAGGAACTTGGAATTAAAATGTCAGAATCCTCCAGACTCTCTCTTTCCCTTCTATCAACCAATGCAGGTCAGTGTGCTTCTGTTTCCGCTGCAGACTTCAAATTTAAATCCTTTCTCTGCCCCTGTGGCGGGTCCCCAGGCAGCACCTGCTGGGGAGACCATGGCAGAGGCCCTGCTCTACCCGCCCCCTCCGTCATTCAGTGCATCCTCCTCCTCATGGTGCCCCCCTGCGCTTCCTAAGGCACAAGTGGCTCAACGTGGTCTTCCCGATATACTCCACACTCTCCTTTCTGACATCCAAATTCTTCTGTTATCTGGTCCCAACGTATTTTTCCCCCTCAATTCCTGCCACCACATCAAGCCCAGGATGCACTCCAGGCAGGCGGGATTCCACCCGCGACTTCCTGTCCAGCCACAGGCAAGGCTGGGCTTGAGAAATATTTGCTGTATGAAAAAAAAATGTAGCAAGGGCAAATCCGTCCCCTGGGAACAGTGCTTCCTTTCATAGTCAATTCTCGTCTCAATTTCTGAGCCCAGAGATGCTCTAAAAGCTTCACACTTTCCCCAACAGCTCCCGGGAATGCAGTCACAGTGAGTATGGCCGAGGTGGGGCATTAGTGGTCTATAACACGGGTACTGTCTGTGGTGTAGCGCAGTGGTGTTCAAACACTTTTGAAAACAATACACAGAAAAATAAACATCAGAATGTAATGGTTTGGGGGTCTTTCTGCCCAAGCACCACTCCTCCTTGCCCCAAGACAGCGTACCATTTATTTACATAATACTTTTCCTCTATATCATTTCAGGTTTTGATTTCATCTCGTCTTAAGCATCCATCACTGGGTTTGATAAAGTTTGCGAAGATAATAGTGGTTAAGACTTCCTGGGTTCAAATCCTGGCACCACCTCTTACTAGTTTCTGACCTTGGACAAGCTATTTCCTCTCTCTGTGCCTCAGTTCCTCATCTTTAAAAAGGGGATAACAGTATCTGCTAATTAGAGCTCTATTAAAAGAGTTGTTACATATATAGAATAAAGTGCTCAGAATAGCATCCAGCACATATATGCCCTCTGTAAATGTAACACTGATATTCTGCCCACTAACCCAACACGGAGCCTTGTTCAAAGCCCATCAGCCCGATCTGCCTAGTCACCCTTCTCTTTCCTTCTGATCACCAGTCTCTCCTGGCTTCACATGCCCCCAAGGCAATAACTGGGATCACTCTCGGGAGTCTGGCTCTGAAGAGGCAACTCCAAAGAACCCTGGTTCTTTCTCTGTCCCCTTCTCCCCAGTAGCCTGAGTCCTAACTAAAGACAGAGAAACACACAGCATGTATTTCACTGCTCCCACTTCACCTACAGCAAATGCTAACTTCTCGCTAATCCAGGGCTGGCCTGAGAGTCCTCCTTAACACAGTGCTCCAGGAGTCCAATGAATGACTCCAGCCCTGGACCAGAGGACATCATCTACACTCAGCATCCTAGCCAGGCGGCAGGATGCACTTCCATAGGTCAGGTGCTGGGTTCAAGGGGACTCCTCTAGGTCCACAGGAACTTTCTGGATTCCTGCTGCAGGGCCTCCCTCCTGAGCTCTCCTGGCTGGGCTTTGACAGCAAGGTCTTAAGAGTAAAAATAATAAGAGTATCATGGAATAGAGCCATGGACACCACAGGTTCTGCCCAAATTCAATACCAGATTTGAAACTTACTAGTAATATTCTCTTTAAAAAGTTAATTAATGCAGCCTCTTTTATGAAGTGGCTTATTTATTACCCTCTGTCATTAGGTTAATCTGAGAATTAAATGAGAAAATGCTCATGAAGAATTTGCAAAGTGCGTGGTACGCAATAAACGTTAGCTGTCATCACCATACGCACACAGGATCAGCAGAAGCAGCTCTCTTTCATCAGATGTCATTTCTTCAAGGACCCATCTGTCCCACACGACTCCTAATGGCACCTCATTTTATGAAATCCTGTTCCGTGCAAATACTCTCAAGACGTCCCTACCTCCGCCAGGTCAATAACGGAAGCAGATGATTTCTGCAAGTAGCAGGTGCTGACGCTGACAGTCATCTCTGTAAGTTCCCGCTGCTTCAAGGCACAGTTTTCACAGTGCCCCAGGGCTGCGCACACTTTCTCAAGGTCTCCTTCTTTTGATAATGATCACAACTAAACCATCACAGAGAAGGAAAAAAAAACACACACCTTTGTCCCCCGACTCTCTATCCCCTCCTCCCCACCCAGGTGCTCCAGAAAAGCTTTCTCATCTCCTCCTGGGGTCCATTCTAATATACAGCAAAGAGGGTCTTCTTCCTTCTGTCTGCATATGGGTGCGGCTGAACTGGTAAAATGAGACTCATGGTCCAGGGACACAAATGTTAAAGGGAGAGCAGGCCTGCAGGAATGATGCCTCCTCTCCCATCTGAGAGGGGTGACATCCTGTGACGTGGGCAAGCCTTCCAGACCTTCACAGCCTGGTTAAATGCCACCTTCTCCATGACACCTTCTCTCAATCCCCCTCTGGGTAATATAACTAGTCTAATAAAGACCAAGCTGATTAACAAAGAAAGCAAAGGCCAGGGGTGATCGTACCATTTTTCTTAAAATGATAGAAGTAATCACGGAGGATAAAAGCCAGCATCACCCAGCCCAGGACAATTAAACTCTCAGCACATAAACGACTTAAAGATTCCTTTTGGTTTGAGAAATTCTCTTTAATATTTACCAAGTCACATTCCCAAAGGAGAGAACATGGTCAAATATTGATGCAGGTTAGTGACTTAAAAGACTAAGGGCTAATATGATATTTCATGAGACGTCTGAGTAATTAAAAGCAAGTTCTTACCACTCCCATTTTATATCAATCAGGCCAGCTGTAATAAATCCTTTTCTCTATCTGAAGTACTTAAAAGCTTGAGCCTTCATCCATGAATACACTGGTTCATCACCGTGTGAATCTTTCAGTAAATACCTTGGGGAAAATATTTAAACTGGAGCATTTTAATTATATGCTTAATATGGGAGTTGTTAAAAGATAAGAGCATCTGATCTGAACCCAATTTAAATTCTGCTGAGGTTATTAACATGGTATAAGGAATTACAGAAACGATCAAGGGCTTATCTACCAGCTTTTATTAAGAGACCAAGAAGGAACTTCTGGTGTTCCATTCCCCTGGCTTGGATTTTGTGTTCTATTCTAGTCTCCTTTTTGTGTTACAGGTCTGTTTAATTAGTTGTTTTGAGGCATCCGGGGAGCTCATGGGCTATTCTATGTCAAACGCTGCTTCAGTGAGCCACATTTTGGCAGCAAACCAAGTCTAAGTCCCAAGAAACCAAGTCAAATGTTGAAAAGGGTATCACTGCAATTGAGCCTCAACCTTCTTTCCTATGTGTTTATAAACCCTGCAGAAGGTGCTAGAAGGAGTCAGAATTGTGCCATCTAGCTGGGATTTCTTGCACTCTTAAAAAAACCCTTTCTGCTTAGTAGCTTCTGGAGAACATAAAACCTTTAAGAGAGAAGAAACTGTGTCAGTTTCTTGTGTACAGCACAATGTCCCAGTCATGCATATACATACATATATTCGTTTTCATATTTTTTTCATTAAAGGTTATTATAAGATACTGAATATAGTTCCCTGTGCTATACAGAAGGAACTAGTTTTTTTTAAAATCTATTTTTATATATAGTGGCCAACATTTGCAAATCTCAAACTCCCAAATCTATCACTTCCTACCCTCATTCCCCGGTAACCATAAGATTGTTTACTATGTCTGTGAGTCTGTTTCTGTTTTGTAGATGAGTTCATAGTGTCCTTTTTTTCCCTTCTTTTTTTTTTTTTTTAGTATTCCG